TCCGGACCTCATCCACTCCACGTACAGGCGCTTGACATGGTCCTTAAATGGCTTATTAAGGCACACATCAAGCGGCTGCAGCTGTGATGTCATCCCTCCCGGGATGACGACGAGCTCGGTGCGGGAGTCGCGCAGCAGTCGCTTTACGGAGTCGGCCAGGTGACACCGAAACGCGTCGAGCACAAGCATCGAAGGGAGCCCCAGCAGTGCTCCGGGCCGTCGACACCACACGGACTTTATCCAGTCAAGGACTAACGATTCGTCCATCCACCCCTTGTCCTGGCAGCGGACGACGACATTTTTCGGGAACTTCTCCCCCTTCGGCAGCGTCTTTCGTTTGAACACCACGTAGGGTGGCAGCTTGCGACCGTCAGCCGTGCAGGATAACATTACAGTCACCCGCGTTTTTTCGTTTCCAGTCGACCGCACGATAACTTGCCTGGAGCCTTTTTGATGCACCGTCAGCGCCGAGGGCATATCCAGGTAGACCGGCGTCTGATCCGCGTTGCCGATCTGGCCCAGCTGAAAGGGGACTGCCTTTCGCAACACAATTATGTACCTTTGAAAAGCCACGAGGTGCTCTTCGTAGCTCTCTGGTAGCTTCTGGGAGATCGACGTACGCCGACGTAGGGAGAACCCAGCGCGGCGCATGAAGCGAGACACCCAATGCTTGCTCGCTTTGAAATCCTCCGGCTGAATGCCTTTGTCTCGAGCGATCTCCCTTGCCTTCGCTTGTAGCAGCTCGATGTTGACAGCGAGATGTGCAGCTCGCTGCTCCCGCACAAAGTCTGTGAGTTCTCGTTCCACGTCAGGAAATGCTCCATTTTTTGGTCCGCGGAAACTTTTTCGCTGGCCGCTGCATGCAAAGAGGGCTTCCTTCTGCTTCCGCCAACCGCGAATGCTCCGCTCGTTGACTCCGAACTGCCGCTCCGCGGCACAGTTGCCGATGGTTTCGGCAGCAGCGATAACTTTTCTTTTAAAAGCAGCAGAGTACTGCCTGCGCGGTCCTGACATGGCGTAAAATCACAGGAGCAAAATCGAGGCCGTCATTATGGGCACCAAGTTGAAGCAAAGGCCACTGACCAACTGACCAGTTAAGACTAACGCCGCTAACACTACCTAGCGCAGAAGCGCGCAGACAGCTGATGATGATGATAGCACCGCGCTATGCCGAAACCGAAACTGAATTTGGGCCGAAAATTCTTGGGACCCGCATATAGTACGGGGCCGAAATTTCGCACCCTAAAATCTAGAAAAAAACCCCGGGCTATACGCGGGTTTTTACGGTACATGCCGAGTGGTGTTGTTAGTTCGCTCTCGTCCTGTGTACACCATTTTCATGCGTCTTGTGCCTGAGCATCGCACGTTTCGATCTGCTTGCCTTCTCAGCATGACATTCCAAGTGGTTGCTGTCACAATCATTGCTTCACCCTTGCGGCAAAACCGACTTTTTTACATATTTACTGACTTTAATCTACCGCTGCGTGCCTTCGAAGCTTGTAGATCACTATCGCGTCGCCACGGCCGCGGTTTTGTCCGCGACGGTTGCAGCAAACGGTAGTTCCTTTTACAATCCCTGTGCGCTGGGCTGCGCACGCGCCTTTAACCCTAAGTCATTCCATGCCATCTACGATCACATCTACTGCAGTTTTGTCAGCAGAGTTTGTGGAAAGTAGCGTTGCTTTGACTGGTTGAGTGCACACTATCGGGGTTCTGTCAGTTACGTCGTCGCCATACATGATAGTGTCAAGAGCGACCGTGGTTTCTTCTGCAGCTGTTGTGGCAACGACAAATTCACGCACAGTAAAAGACCGTGCAAGGACCGGTCGCAGGCGTACTTCTGAAGCTTCGAGTGCGCTGCTCTTGGCTTTTGTTCGACGGTTTCCGTACTAAAGTCTGTATCACTTGCCGTGATTAGGAAATGTGTTCGGAACATTCAAATTTATGCCCAATGAACATAGTAGAATTTGGCTTTTCATGAATTCGTATCTGCTGTGGTTTCGAATCACTGAGATTATACTGTACGTTCAAATGAATGCATCTTAAACTCATTTAAAATAAAATGGGGTAGTTTTGAAAAGCCTGGAGAGGATTGAGCTGCTTTTTTGTCAATGCGGCCAGATCACTCACAGAAATTTCGATTTTCTTGACAACCGTACAAACGGAACAATGGGTCGAAATCTGGGAGACTTGGCAGGTATGCTTACTTGTTGATACGCTTGACTGCAATGAGCTTCATGAACTTAATTTACAAAATCAGCTGGCATAAACAAGTAGTAGTGCCTAATTCGCAAAAACTAGCTGAGAGATGGCTTCTTTGGGGTCTGACAGTGAAATGTGGTGCATCATGTTTGACAATTTATGTGCCCGCCTACTAATACCAACTTTGCTTAATTAAAGCACTTTTATGTAGCAATAGAAGTCCCAGTGGAGTTTGAATTAAGGAGCTTTTACTATACCAAATTTTCACACTCACTGCAATATTGAGGCCTAACTAACTATATACAGTTGATGACCGATAATTCTGACTCCACGGGGAATGGAAATAAGTCCGAACTATCTAAAGTCCGGAGCACACGGCGCATCATCATCGTCCGAGTCAGAACCGCTGTTTGACGGTTGCAGAACCTGCTCAATTATGTCATCGTCATTCAATTCGGCACACGACGACACTGCACTGTCGACGTTTGCAAAGTCTTGAAACGTAACAGTGTCGGGAATCGGTACACCGCAGCCATGCAGGTCGTCGATAACGTCCGCACCTGAGCTCGATGTGCTGGGCGGCAGGTCAGGCTCTTCAGTTGCATTGTCGGGTTTTTCGGCTGCAGTGTCGGCGGTGTCGGGCTCACTACGCAACGTAAATCCTGCGTGCGGGAAACGGTTGCTGATCGTGCCTGCCGACACTGCCTTCCAGGCATCAGCAAGCATGCTCACGGCTGACATCAAATCAACGTTGTATTTTATCTGGCTCTCTAAGCAGAGCAACACTCGCTGCAGCATGCGTGAACGATACAGCACCTTCAAATTCTTGATGATACCTTGGTCGTATTTTGATCGTATTCGGCGGCAGGTATTCTAGCTCGATGGCTTTCGGATAGCTGATCGGCGCATGGGCAGTACAGTTATCCACGAACAAAAGGACCTTGCGCTTTTGCAATTCAAACTTTCGGTCCAATTTTCTGACATACTCTGTGAACAGCTTCTGCGTGACCCTTGCCTTCGTATTGGCTTCGTACCAGACAGGCAGATCCCCCCCCCCTAAAACAACGAGGGTTTTTCAATTTCCTGATTACCAGCAGCGGGAGCTTTTCCATGCCAGAAGCGTTGCAGGCGACAATGACAGTGACTCATTCCTTGCCGAGTTTACCTCCGTGGCAAAGTTCTCCAGAACGGGCGAGTGTCTTCTCGGTAGTAGCTTATAGAAAAGCTCGGTTTCATCGAGGTTGAAGGTGTCGTCAGCCGAGTAGCGCCAAAGCAGCTCCACCAACTTTCCACCGCGGTAGTTCGCTACCAGTGTTGCTATCCAGGGCACCGCTCTCACCGCACATTCTTTTGAAAGCGAGGTCGTACCGCTTTTTAAAGTTCCGGAGCCAGCCATCGCTGAACTCAAATCCATCAATGCCAAAATCAAAGTGCCAATGTCTCGGCCTTTTGCTTCAAGAGGTGGCCGGAAACGGGAACCCGTTGAGCAACAGTAGCGTTAAACCAAATGCTCAACGCTTCTTCCAACTGCGGATGAACACCTTGGCTCTTTTGTTCACTTCCGGATGATGTCTCCGTCGCATCCTAAAAAAATCTTGTCCTTATTCTTCATGTAATCCGATACGGTTTGCTTCGAAATGTTGAACTCTCGGGCAACTTCGACTTGCGGACGACCACTGAGCACTTGCTGAATGATGGCTGTTTTCTTTCCCATGGTTAGCGTTGTATATCTGCTGCGTTTCGTCGGCGCAGCCTTCGGCGCTGTCTGTGAGGGCACCGTTGGTGCCATTTAACTTCAGATCTTGTGAGACAGCTGGACGTAAAATAAAGCAAGTCTCAAAATAAATATGAACGCGCACAGAATTCAGCAAAACGCTGTACCGTACACACATGTGACAGAATGGCGGCGATAGCCGCACAGCGAGAGTGGCGAGGGTATACAGGAACCGAAATGTGGAATGATCGCGATGTCGATACGATCCCCCACAGTTGAGCTGTGCCTCCAAGATTGGCATTTTCAAGTACAAATCTCTGCGGCATAAAGTTGCGATCAAAATAAAGCCTCATAGATTACCAATTAGATTTTGTTTTGATCTCGGAGGCTATACTTTGTATGGTTTGAGTGCCAGAGGAAATAATGGCTGCCGATTCGGCGTGCGCGACAGTCGGGCAGGGTCTGAATTACCGAATGTAGATCTGGCAGCTGTCCGAAATATCGGTCGTGTTTACACATTACTTCTATTGGACCATCGGTGGTGCCCCGCGACTGTACGAATTACCGAGCATGTCCGAATTATCGGTGTCCGATTTATCGGTCGGCGACTGTATAGGTACAGCACAAAAAAATTTAGCATAGCCTCCTGTTCCCTGCAGTTGCTTTTGTGTCCCAGCAGGGGTAAACCAGGTGCTCCGGGCAAAGGTGGCCAGATGGAACACTAACGATGCTTGACCGCGGTTTTCACTGTTGCACCCATTTATGAGCAGTGAGTGTAGAGGTGCACTCACTGCAGATACCGAGGATGCATAAGAAGGCATACTATATTTTAGGAGCTCTACAATGAAGCATTCCTCGCTGCAGGCGATCGGTCAACGCTCACATCAAATACCCTCGAGCCGAGGCTCACATGAGTAAGTGAAACTACATATCAAATTTTAGTTAGTTTTTTTTTACAACAGCTTAATATACAACCAAACACACAACCGAGGGTCTTGCTGCTGTCTTCAACTATGGGACCCTCGTCTGTATATTTTTCTGTAAGAAAACTTGATAGCGTAAGAATAATAAATGACTGACTTGCCTCGTAGGACGTCGACGATGAGACTAAGATCCTTGGTTAGCTTTTTGATCTGATTGAAGTTGGCCACTGTACCAATAGGCACATACTGGTCACTGTCCATTTGAGATAGCAGGTATGTGTCATTGGCAAGATTTTCCCTGAAAAATGGAATGAAAACGCTACAAAAGTGAACACATACACGACTTCCCAACAAACAGTTGAACTTTCATGCAATTGCTGCAGCAGTACAAAAATTGTCAGCTCCAGCAATTTTTTAGCCTAGTAATTCAACGAATCTTACAAACTTGTATAAGTAGGGCATCCACTATTACATAGTGTGACTTGACTCATTTTAATACTATAAATATGACTTTATAGTATCTCTTTGCAGCTTGAAAAATATAGTTGAACACACTATTTTCAGTAGCACTATTTCTTGCATAAACTTTTCTTCTATGAACGTCTCTGCATTGCTACACAAGGTGGTCCAAAAATTCAGTACTGCTAACTGCCCTACAATGCTATCAACAGGTGTCGGAGCGAGTGTGTAATGAAGAATGTACCTGGAGAAGTAGTACTCGAGCTGCTGCATGAGCATGCGACGCAGGTCCGCCAGAGGCAGCTCATCGGGGTTGAAGTGGGGGGGCCCCAGGCCGTGGGGCGGCGGGGGCGCCATGGCTGTGCCCCCCTCCGGTGCTACCTCCGACCCATCACAGCACACTCCTCCACCTCCTCCTCCTGTGCACAATACCACACCAAAATTCAAGCAACAGCGAGAAGCTCACACACTCAGCGAGGGAGAGAAAAAACACATTTACAAATAGAGACCTCAGCTTAGCTTCAGATTGGCTGTATATGAATAGCATGCTAAAAAACAGGAAGAGCTCGAACCACTGTAGCAGTGCTGGCATGTTTTTCAAAAACCTTGTGACTGGATTAGACACTAATCCAAGGCCAGAGTTTCTCTCCTTTGCTCTAATCTTCCCAGTGCAGAGTAGTACCTTGAACTGTCATCTCTGCTACCATTTCCAGTCTTTTATCAGTTTTCTTTTTCTTAAGTTACACAGTATATCCAACTGTACTGTTCCCTGAAGTTTGCACGAAGAGTATCTTAAGTAGTGCCAAAAATAGTACATGAGATTGACACCTACATGGAGATTTTCACTCGAAGCTGTGGTCTTTTTTTGGGCAGTGCTATAACGAACTGCCAGCTATTTCATAACTGTACCTTGGGGGAGTGCAAGCACATCCAAGTATTATACATATAAAACAGCAGAACACCAGTTCACATTACATTTAAACGCGCAGTAGCAGGGGGAAATTACTTGAAAGGTACACTTGTGCAGCTGGTACTTCATTTTGTGCCATGCTGCAGTTAAGGCACCCTGTGCCTCCCTACTAATTAGAAGAATCAGAGAGCAGGTTACCTTCTCAGCTGGGGATGATGCCTAGTTTTCTAGCTGCTGCTGTTTAATTTTTTTTTATCTGCACCAATCCGCAAGCACTGCAACTTACAGTCATTCCCTGAAGGTGCCCCTGCCTTAGTGCAACATACCACCCCAGGTACTTAAAGTGTGAATCAATTCAAGGAGATCTAAACCTTATGGCGAATTTTAATGGCAGACCTTGCACACTTCCAATAGCAGTTTTCTGACCAAGTGGAGCAAATCTCTTCCACTAGCAGACAGAGTGCTCCCTGTAGGTTTAAATGGCAGATCTGGAGCTACTACACCGCCAGATCCACTCCAGAGAGCAGCCTCCTTTAATCTGAGAAAAGCTGTGGATTCAACCAAAAGTCGCAAGCGCCTGGTCCGTGTGCAGGCTGTGCTGTACCACGTCATGTACGCAACATAACGATCGAGCAGCACCATGAATGCAAGGAAAGCCGTGTGCTTCTGGAAGCGAATGTGTACTAGCGCACCCTGCCATTTGCTCTGGTGGGAGCGCCTGTCACTGAGTTGGAGGCCTTCTACCGGAGGGAGTGCAGTGCTCTGCTGTAGAGTTCATCAGCCACTTCACAACGCGTCTCTCGTTGAGCACTTCCGAATTCTTTGCAGTTCACCTCCAGATGAGTGGAATGCGCCACCAGTGTTTCTTATGAATGTTTGTTACAGTTGATAGCTTGATACTGCGAGGTGAATAAACACCTTCAGCTAGGAAACTTGCCCAGTAGTCTTAGCCCAACGAGGTTAAGGCTAAACTAAGAACAACATGTAAGGGGTTACAGTTCTATTTCTGTTACGAAAGTGTTTGCAAGGGACTACCTCTACTAGCCCGCCTTGATTAAGAGAGAGGCCACGCCTGTGTGTTCAAATACCTGCTATATAGTGAGAAATATTTAAACTCTAACCAAAAGTTTTTGAAGAAACCCGTCGTTTTGGAACCGACTTGGCTCCTTCCTCAGGGGAAACTGGGACTATGTAATAGCAGCGTCCTCAAAGCACTCGCGGGTGGTTAGTGACTTTCTCTGTCTCTCACTTCGCCAGGGAGCACAGTCTACGTGTATACACTGGGAGAAGGGTTCCGAGAGAGCTGTTGATGTTTTGGGCCGTTTGCTGTATATGCCACGACTCGAGTCTGCTGTACACTGCTATACACTATGCATCACAAACACGACTTGAGTGGGTAGTTTACAGTTGCATCACACCCCACGCATGATTGAAGGCACATGTCTGAATGTCCTGATCACCCAATGTTGTGTGCGAAGTCTTCCTCCGTCTATTACTGTGTTTTTTGAACAGGTGGCAGGATAAAAAAAAAAAAAAAGATATTACTAATCAAAGCATCCCTGCAATCACAATCAACTTGACAAGGTCAGATTTCCCTCTATGAAGGAATAAGTTAGATCTCCACTTGCAAACAACTTAAATTTTCATGCTGAGTTGAAGGCATCGAGCAAAATATCATAGCTTTGATATGACACAAGCAATGACAGCATAACAATGTGTGACACATCAAAAGTATGCTGCCAGCTCAATCACTTTTGCTGTTTCGCGAATAGGCCACATTTAGGATACACAACTATCAAGCGGTAGGTGACGTTGTGCTCGCGAGCGTTTATACCACCACCACCACCACCACCATCATCATAGTTAGGACGGTAGCGCTAGCAGTGACATCTGATGGCACATGACAGATGAGCGGGCCTCTTTGGTGTGTGGCGGTTGGAGCAAGCGGTCGTCTCTTGCGGTGGGCCCATGAGGACGGCACCACAGGTCGTCGCTCACAGGTCCCCCGTGGCAAGTCGAGCGTTGGTATCGCCACCTTGTGTTTGTTATCTTGTTGAGTGTTTTGGAATATTGTGCAAGGTTTTTTCAGTGTGTCAATCACAACTGATGTATTTTGATCATTGTTGTAAAATGTAATTCAATAATTGTGTGTTGTTAGGTTTGGTCTGACCGCGTCAACTGTGTCCGTGTGTTCAAAGAGCGGCTCTCCACACGGTTCAAGGCAAAAGTTGTCAGTGGCTATGCAAAAAAGCAAGAAGATCCACAGGATGACGTGATTACCGTGAACCGTGTTACAATACACTGACAAAACCACAATCATCATCACACACAATGCAATAACATTACTTGTGCATCAAGAAGGAGAACCTTTTGTTTCTGAGTGCTCATACACAATGGCCTGAAAGCTAAAGCCACATCAAGTAGACCAGCATAACAAAGGGTTTCAACAAAAAGCTTTATGAATGAACACATGGCGGCTGTTGCAGCTGCAGGTAAAGGCGTGCGTCGATGTTAAAGAAAAAACGAGAGTGGGGGAACGGAACATTTTACATTTTAGCTAGATTGCAAAGTTGAAGCTAAAAACCTTTACGACTGCTACTAAGGAGCACATGAGTGACTTAGCAAAGAGCCATGTTTTTTTAAAAATAAAATTTAAAGTTGATTACATCATTTACAATGATAACATACAAAAATAGTGACCATTAAAGTGCTTCAAGTCAAGCCAATATCCATGTCAAGTGTAATTAACGCAATACTTGAAATTACTCTCAGCATAAATTACACCATTCACTTACAACATAATATAATTTGTCGAAACAGCATGGTTTCGGTCGCATAGATCTGCGTTTTCTGCAGTTCTAGGGTCTAAACAACAACAACCTAGCTGCCACTGTTTTCTTACACATAAGAAAGACCTACGATTATCTTGACCACAACGAGTTTAACTAAGCTACACTATTGTGGCTTTAAAGGCAAAACTTATCAACTCCTTGAAAGTTACCTTTCCGATCGAAAGCAATGAATAGTGACAAATGGTATGGAGTCTTCCCCTGAGTCAGTAAACTCAGGAGTACCGCATAACTCGGTCATCGGAGTTTTTTTTTTTCTTTTTTACTATACTTTAATAAAACCTTCCTTTTTTGTTATTGTACTCCGAAGCTTTAATGTATGCAGAAAACACGGTACCAATATTTGTTGGAGACAGGATAACTCGGATTGCAGCTGAAATCAACAAGGAGCTGGAAAGTTTTAAATTATGCCACCTAAATATTAGGAGAGGCATAACTAAGTACATGGTTCTTGACTCCAGAAAGATGATGCCCAATATTGATAGCCTCAATCTGCTTACACAGCCTCCATTGTTGTATCGTGTCACCCCGTGTAAATATTCAAGTGCCATGTGTGATTCAGATATGGACTGAATGTCTAGCATAGACAGGACATGCTAAAACTTAGTGTGTGGCTGCTACTCATTAAAAGCGCAAAAGTGTTTCAGATATGTCACCCTGAGTTCCCTATACTACTTCGCATTTGTGCACACTATCTGAGCTACTGCATAGAATTGTAGGGCAGCACATATAAAACCTTTCAGCTCAGGAGAATTGCATTTTCAAATAGGACAGATACCACAAAACCGCTATTCTAGCATACGCGCATACTTATGCTGGCGTAAAAAGCATTGTTTCGCATTTGAGTAGGAGGCACGGCAGATAACAAGCACAGAATAATAAAAAATGACGAGCCTCCGCCACTGAGCCCTTTAGGGCCACTGGCGCTCAGCACAAGAGCTGGAATGAATAATCGCTTTGATTTAGCAGTAGTTAACACTGTCTACGGTCGGCAGCCAATAGAATTTCATAGCTCTCTTATTTGGACGGCTATACTGGCTGATGAGAAAGCAGCACCCAACTTTTCTGTGGCCATGAAGAATTTTATACTGGTAGATGGTGTAGCTTGATGATTAACCTGTATGCTTTCCATTGTATCTAAATTAAAGAATAAGAATTTTTTGGGGTCCCAGATGTCCTAAAACCAAGATAAGATTACGAGACGCTGTAGTAGAGGTCTCTGAAAATTTTGACCAGCTGGGGTTCTTTAACATGCGCCTAAATCTACAAGAGTATGGGTACATGGGACCCTGGTATTTTCACCTCTATCAAAAATGTGGCCGCCACAGCCGGGATTCGACCCCGTGACGTGCAGGATAACCACTAGACCACTGAAGTGGGTTGTCTGTAGAAGTGTATCCAGTACACGTGTTTGCACTTGTCCAAAAATGTTTTTTATAATGCATGTAAAAGCACACCCATGCACACAAAAGAATGCTAGAGACTATGTTCCATATGTAGAATACCATAGGCAGAAGATTTTTCCAGAACTCTACATATAGTCAGTCAACTTCATGCTTGGATGTTGTGGCCGAAATGGTACTGTTACGTGTTTTAGTTTGGATTCTAGCAAGGAACTAAAGAGTCGGGAACAGCAAACCATGCCCAAGGGTAATGGTAT